GGGGGTCAGAATAGAAATGAGAGAGGACAAAAGGAGACAAACAACTTTAAAAACAAAGTTATGGTCCAAGAGTCACAGCATACTTCTGATGGGCAATTCAGGTTAATTTAATGGTCGTATAAAAAAAAAAAAAAAAAAAAAAAAAAAAATACAAGACCCAACTGCCAGAGCAATAACCTGTGACAGCGTGAGAAACAAACAAAGTGTACATCATGAACCTGGTGATATGGGTGACTTCATGGCGGTGGTCGTGGAGGTTTACAGTTCTCTTGATAAAAACGTGAATTAAAAATAGAAACCAATTCCCAAAAAGCTGTGGTTTAGCTAACCTACAGTAAAAATACACCTGCTTCCCTGTTTATGTTACAGCCGGACAACTGGAGAGACAAAGCCGGGAAGTACACGTCTGAACAGCAGTGTTTCACAGCCGATCAGACTCATCTCGGCTCGGAGCCTTTGTATGAGCACCACAGGCCGTATTAAGGCTCGATCGACCACTTCTTGTTTTCAAGCCGACCTTGGGCGACTCATTTGTTGACTTCATAAGTCTACTACGGAGGACTGAGGGAGAAAGAAAAGTGCCAAAAGAAAAAGCTACAAGGCAACACAAACTACACCTATCCTGTCTGCGGGGGCTCATGGCCAAAATAGTGACGACTGACGGTTTTTTATAGTCAAAATAGAACAACTGACTCGTTAAAAAACATCCTCGTTGGATTCTCCTCTACAATAAAATAAAAACTTTTTTTTTTTTTTAAAAAGAAAAGAAAATTAAAACACATAATGTACAACCAGTTTTCGGTCTCCTGCGATGGCTCCTCTTCGCTTTTGGCGTGATGAAGAGTCTTTCCCTCCTCTGCTGAGAGCAGCCGCCGCAAGAACAACTTAAGAAATCGAAAATAATGCTGGAAGAGTGTACGTGTGTGTGTGATTGGTGTAGGAGGAGGAGGAGGGAGCTAAGAGTCATAGTCTTCGTCGTCGTCGTCGTCGTCCTCGTTTTTGTGCGGCTCGGGGGCTGGGGGAGGGGGGGCGAAGTCCATGCCGCCCTGGGGCTGTGCGGGGGCCATGCTGCCCATCTGCATGTACTGGGGGGGTGCGTTTGGGCTGTGGGGGAAACAGGCAGAGGTGTAAACCAGATGTTAGGAATCAATCAAATGAAAAACACTCTCACGAGGTACTATGCGCTATGCACTATGCGACACACGGCCTCTTCCCTGTTTACCACCAGCTCTGTGCATTAAACACAAACCAACTAACCAATAGTTTGCAAAGCTGGAGTAGAGATGCACGCCCCAGAGAAAAGCTGGTTGAAAGAAGAAGCACACCTACTTTCAAGCATAATGAACTGGCTTGGATAATAACAGGTTTTTGGATATGCAAATATTTCAACGACGACCTTTTCAGGAAGCTGTTTGAAGGAATGAAAGAGGGAGGCTGTGTTCACACGCTGGGAAACTTTGAAACAAACACATTGTGACGCAAAGACAAAAATAAATGGCACAAGTGGATCCCGCCGTTCCACTTTTCCATATGTTGTCGTGATAAGCAACACGTTAGGCCATCGACACCCGTCAAACACAGCCCAGAGGGGCGTCGACGTTGGATTCACCGCCCCGGTGGTGAGGATGCGGCATGGGGTCGTTTCATGTTAATCGGAATATGTACGGCTACATGCAAACATGAATATTAGTGGAAAACTCATTTTCATTAACCATGTAAACACAGCTTATAAGAAATATTGACTATATCTGAATATGGGGGAAAAAACGTAATATTTGGTACTCATTCATTTATGTCATTTTGCTCCCGAGCATGATGAAGCAACAGAGATTTGAGTGTGTGTTGTTGCTAGAATTGGCACGGCTGAAAGTTGAAAACACCAGGGATGAGGCCGCTGGTTGTGTGTTCTTTTAAACTACTTCATCCTGGCGTACCAACAGGGAAACATGATTAGTTTTGACTGATTTGACATAAGAATCTCCCTAACAAGTTCAAATGGGCTCATAATATTTGAATGGTTTATTTAAATGGTTTTCTACTCTTTGAGAATAAGGGAGGCAAACATGCCTAACATTGTGCTGCTGAAGCTTTTTTGTTTATCCGACGACGTACAATGCAGTGATTGTTTTGTTAACTAAGACTTCTTCAACAACCTTTTCATCCACGACTTAGAAGAAACGACGACGAGAAGGCACCGACGTCATTGAATACCTACTAGGGGTGGGGGGGGGGAAATCGATACAGCATAGCATCGCGATATTTTGCGTGGCGATATTGTATCGATTCACGGACGCCAAGTATCGATCTTTTATTATATAAACTATTAAAAAAAATAAAAAAATAAAAATTACTAGAAAAATCAAATCAATTGCTTTTTCAGTCCACTAGATGGTGCTGAGTTGTTTTCTGGTGAGGTCAGCAAAGGTCCCGGTCAGCATGATTGGTAGGAAGTTGGTCAAAACAAAGATAGAGACATCTGGCCTCACAGCGGGGTTAAATCTGCCAACAGTAGCCAGGCTCATGGGGAGAGTGCAGCGCATAACTGTCTCTCTGCCCTTGACGTCCACGCATCGCAAGTTATACTGAGTTATATAACTCTAATATCCTACTTGTATAACTTATAGTTCATTTACTGAGTCCACACGTTTGCATTTAGTTAAGTTGGACTATGTAGTAATAAATTCAGTTTGTCAGGTTCATGCAACATTTATGACATTGTTGGTCAGTCTGTCTGCTTGACAATCCTATTTTGCTGCAATAAAAATGATTGACGTGAGATGAACAGACTGAAAACTTTATCTTATTAGATAAAACATGTTGACACAGTTTTCCTTTGGGGACATAATTTGAAGTTGGAAAAAAATAATAAATCGCAATATAGGCCTATGGTATCGCAATACTCAGAATATCGCAGTATCGTGATAATATCGTATCCTAAGTATCGTGATAATATCGTATCGCGGGACCTCTGGTGATTCCCACCCCTAATACCAACGCAGACAATATCAAACACAACTAAGATGTGTTTACTAAATAAAAAGTAACCATAGTTGCTCTTTTGGTTCATGACCTTTGACCTTCTCTTCCCCTCTCTGTCTCAAACACACCGTGAACCGTGGCAGAGGCCCTCAGTCCGTCTGTCCTTCTTCCTCAGTCCTGTGTAATGCATAACTCTGGAGGTTTGCAGGTCGGTTGGTTGATTAGCGCATATTTTTGCATGTTGGTCGGGCAGATTGATTGACTCTCAATCAAATAGTTGCCAGTGATTATTGAATAGTACTCTTGCTTGAAATGCCCATGCCTAGGAAGTTGCATTGTTAATCATTCAACCTGTGTTTGTCATCAGATAATGATCATATAACATAAAATAAGTTATTGGGATGCACGCGGTCTGGGTCCGTACCTGTGGAACCTGGATGCAGCCTGCAGGTTTGTGCTGGACTGAGAGCCGTCCTCCTCGTCCTCGTCCGTCTCGCTGTCTTCAGAGTCATCCTGTTTCCGTCACAACAAACACACCAGTCAGCCCATCGACCTCAAACACACACCAATCATTGAAACTGGGTGGAGTTCAATTAGATCCTCCTGCGTGTGATGATAATTTATGTTGATAACTATGAAGCTGTAGATAGCTACTGGTCCATGTAAATACGCCCCCACCTCTTGCTCCGACTCTGTGCCAGACAACTTCTTGTCCTTGCCTTTGGAGCCAGCTCCCCCATTCTTACGGCCAGACCCTGGTTTTCTACCCCTGGGGTCAGAAAAAGGAAAAAGAACAAAGCGTTATGTGCATCTTTCAGATAAACAGAGACAATTCTGATGTGGTCAATACTGCTGGTGAAAGGACTTCCAGCTCTTTATACTCAAAGACACAGCGTCTCCGCATGCCTCACTCCCATAGCTGAGACTAATGCGTCTCAATATTAGGAGCGTACAAGCACTTTAAATCGAATCTGCCACTCTTTAGTGAAAAGAAGTTCATTTGTGTGTAATTATCTGCCAGGCTCTCTGCTTCAATTCAGCTGCAGTGCGTGATTTAACAGTCAATACTGCTTCTTCTTCTCTACAATCCTCAATAATTAGTGCAACCCTCTCTCTTTATTTGCCTTTTTTTGTAGTTGATCTACAATCACCAAACAGAAGAAAAAACAGTGATAGGGTCAAAATCGTTAGGATGACAAACGTATGGCTTTGGTCAACTTCTGTTTCCAGCAGCAGCGGTTCCTGGAAAAGGCCAAGATAACTCTCCTTGAGTCCATATAAGGAGTTGAGTCCTGTTGAGCGATTCACTTCTTAATTGTGTGGGTGCGTGCGCTTATCACAAATGACTGCATGGACTAACAAATCAAGCGCCCAACAGGATTAATGAGTCAAAATCAGCCATTTGATTCTGGACCAGCAGTGCACGTGGAACAGGACCTTGCAGATCTGACTTTCCTCGAGTCAACAAAACTTTACAGTGTTGACTGTTTAGACCCTTTAACAGTCTGTAAACAATGACGAGGTATGCAAGTGTGCGCACGTAATTTGACAGCGAAGTGCAACATCTTGTCAAGCTATGCAAGAGCATTAACCAGCAGACGGCCAATGCAACCTGAACAAATTGACTTTCCAGATCTGTGTATGTGAGCATTTGTTTTATCAGTCAACAAGTTGAATTGCTCGTCGCCGCCAGTGTTTCGGTGTAATGAGCGACCGTGTTAACTGGTGACTCTCAGACAAATTCCGTGGTTGCTCGTAGTGATGGCAGCTGTTTAAAACACCAACAGAACATGAAGGTGTCCTCGTAAAAAGCCTTCAATCAATTTGAAATACATACTCGTCGCTGTTTATTGTCTACGACAACCATTTAAGTGAGTTACCACAAGCAACCACGGACGCATTCGTCTGAAAGTCAACAGGTAACATGGTCACTCGTTGAACCGAAACACCTGTTGAACTGAAACGGTCGAGATCCTGTCGGAATTCTGTAGAACAGGAGTCCGCTGATGGAATATGATGAATGATGCTGGAAAGTTTTAATTCAATGTTTAAAGCTCACTAACTGGTCTGGGTGGCTGGGGCAAAACGCTACTTCCGTTGCCAACATGCACACGCATATATCTGACAACATTGGCTGTAAAAGGGTCTATACCTACATGTTGCCATGTGTATGAGTGTGTGAGAGAGAGACAGACACATACCTGCGTGGCACTTTTTCTCCCCCCCCCTCCGTGTGGTTCTCTTCCCCCTCGCCCTGCATGTCCGGCACCGTTGCAACCAGGTCTTTCAAGAAGTCAAACTGTTGCTCCAGCTCAATACACTGCTTTCTGTGGACACACAATCTTAGATGAGTACATTGCTTTCTCAACAGACCTGCATGCATTCTGAGTTGAAGATAAAGTCTAAATGTCACACAGACAAAAAGATAAATGAGGCTATATATTCATTTTAATAAGGAAGTGAGCATCTTTTCAGTCAAATGTGTCCAAAATCAAATAACTTTAATATGATTTCCTGTTATTATCCAGCTGCCTGATAATAATGCAAGTGGTATGTCGGTCACAATGAACTGAGCAGAGGATGTATCCCAAAGTAGTCGAACTCCAAAGCATTGCAATAGAGAGCAGATCATTTATCAAGACACACGCACAAATACAGAAACTTACAGATGCGATGTTGTCATCGTCTTTGCATTCCTAGACTGGGTGACTTGACAGGCCTTTGTAAGCAATGATTCCAAAAAAAGCTCCAGGGCTCTCGCTGACATCTTAAATTAAGGAAATTAGGATGTAGGAGGTCTGTGTTCTTTTTTTGAAATACTACCCGAGAGAATAACTTGTACACAGAGTCAGGCTAGGGCTGACTAATGGTTCCCCCCACTATCGATTCATCTGTCATAAAAAAATAAAATAAAATGAATTGTTAGTCTAGAAAATGTATAATGCAAAAGTTAAAATATTCCAATTGGAGAAACCTCAGCCAGCAAAGGTTTTGCTTGCTTTATCAAACTAAATAGTTGATGTATTGTTACATTAACTGACTGGTTAATCAAGGGCTTGTTTCATCTCACAGTCAGAGCTTTAGCACAAGGTCCTTAGACTACATGAAAGGTGCAGTTCATATAAATTCATTTCGTGAATCCAAAGCACATACAGATGATCGAAACCTTGGTACATGCACAGAAGAGATTTGGGGCAGGAAGGATACAAATAATAACAGGTACTGCTGCAGCCACTTTGCCTATTTCTTCATCTGTCTGCATAATCTTCTTAATTCGTGCCTGTAAGGAGAAAAGGTTCAGTAGTACGTACGTTGTGTTTGTACAATGCCTGTCAATACATACACACATTTTATATGAAAAATAAGACTTTAAGACAGATTTATGGATCAAAACTCAACGCTCGCTAACTAAATTACATGACAACAAGATACAGTGAACTACAACACATTTCTGAGTCGTCGCTATCATAAGACGACTTTAATAACATACATGTTTAAAACTATTTACTACCGGCGTGTTGATGAGATATTCTACAGCGTTTGCAATGTGAATACCTCAAAAACAGACAGCCCAGATTTACAACAGTTAGCTAGTTTCACTTAGCTTGGCATGCTAAAAACAACGATAACTTGTGGACATGCTAGCTAACTTACGTCTCACGCCTCAAATGTATCATAGCTAACTCTGGGGTGCAAAGTAAGTTGGCCAATCTATTAAATCAACGACGTTGGTATAATGACACTAGTGCATTTTACATTTGAGTAGTAAAGGCATGCGTTTGTTAGTTAGCTTCTTAGCACTCTGGGCAACAAAATAGGCCGAATCCCAGTTGAACTAGCTAGACAAGTTAGCTTTCCTTCATACAGTTTGCTAACGTTGCCCAGTCTTAACACCGGTTCTGCCAAGTTTAGACTTACCGGAGGGAATCTGGCGTTGTATTTCTTCTTTTTGCTTGGCATAATTAAATCAATTAGATGGCTAACTTAAAATAAAAGGCAATATATACTGGAATATTGGTCTATATCATACATAAATCACCTCCTCCGCGCACACACTAGATAGCGATAGCTACCCTGCTAACTCGTTAGCACGTCGTCACTCGTTGCCTGGCAGGTCAGCGTAGTTCCGCAGGGTCACAGCGCCGTCATTTTTGGAGCAACTTTGTACTGAAGTCTAATGTAAAATTCCGTTTTTTTTATTTTTTTAGCTAATAGTGTAACACGGTTGCACTTCATAACTACACAAAATTAACACTAACTAATTAAGTGCTTGCATATTTGCGGTTACATATAATTACCCGGGGAATCTGGTATATTGTCATTTAAGAGCAGATGTAGGTTAATTAACAGTTTGCTAAATGCCGTAAATTCATCTCATAAATTAACGCTACTTGAATAAATAAACTTCTAATTTGTCGTAATTAACAAATCTACTATACTATACTACTTTATTTCTGTGCCGAATTTATCAAATAGTTTTCATTTCCGGGGTACGTGATTCACCATTACATTAGTCGATAGACAAGGTTATTCAGTTAAACTGTCGGGCATGTATTTGGATAGAGTTATTCATACTCTTTGATACTGAGTATGTGTGATAGTGAGGATACATTGTGCTGCTAACGGTAGCGCAATTGCACGAATAGACGCGCAGTACAACCAAACGGCGGCTAACTTCACCACCGCAGTCGGCTTATGCGGAAGAGCAACACAGGACAACGAACTCCAACATCCACGGGTAGGTTAGACCTCAGCGGCCGAAGTTTGCGAACAATGTGCCATAATTCCTATTGTTACAAGGTTAGGTGTGGTCAACAGCTGGCTGTAAACAGCTAACCTAATTAGTCAAGAAGGCGAACATGGACGATTGGTAATATGGCTAGCTAGCTGGCTAGCTACAATTAGGCTGAAGCCTAGCAATTGAACACTTCTTGTTTAGCCACATGCCAACTGTAGACCACACACCAACGAAATGGATAATTTATTTTTTTTTCTAAAAGAATAGGCGATAGACAAACGTTAACGCTAGCTATTGAACAAGTGTTGCTAATGTGGCAGGCTAACGTTAGTAGGTGACGTTAGCAGCGCTAGTAAACATCCGCAAACTATCCAGCGGTCTGTCCACTTTTGCCTTGATTTAGAAGTAGCGCAAACTATCAGAGTTTGCACCTATTTTTAAACATCGAGTTTAATACATAACACCTCCCTCCTTTCTACAGGATAAGTTCCAGGACTAGTTAAATAGCCACACACTGACAGCACTATGGAGAAGGAAGGGGCCCCTGGAGATGGAGAGGTGGTGACCCCTTTTGCTGCAGAGACTTATGCTGCTGAGGCCATGGCTGCAGACATGGACCCCTGGATTGTGTTTGACTCGAGAAAAACTCCCAGATCCGAGTTTGATGGCTGGCTGGAGAGCAACGGGCCCTCACAAGTAAACAGATTTGGTGATGATGAAAGTGGAGTTAGTCCTGTGGGGTGGATTGCTGTGCTGGGCCTGAACCACTGCCTCATCACTGGGGATGTCACGGGTCTCCAGGAGAGCTGGGAGAAACTTTTGGCCAGCAGCCGGCCTGTCAGCTTCCAGACAGTGAAGGAGCTGGCCCTGAACCACGGAGTGCTCTCGGGCAAATGGCTGATGCACTTGGACTCTGGTTTCAAGTTGGACCACGCCTGGGAGTGTGTGGCCAGAGCAGCCCTGGATGGCAAGATCTCCCTAGTTAAAGTCAGTCCCCATAATCCCAAGGGTGAGGGCAAGCAGGTCATTTGTGCCTATAACCAGAACTTCACTGACGAAAGTGAGGTCATAAGGCTGGACAACGTCATCCGGGCCACAGGAGTCAAATGCTCCCTCACATACAAGCCAGACGTGTACACATACCTGGGAATCTACCGAAACAACCGCTGGAAACTGTGTCCAACCATATATGAGAGCAAATTTGACCTCGAGCGTGTACCCCGGCGTTCCCACATTGTCAACAAAGTCACCAATCTAGAAGTAAAATAAGTCTGTCAGAACAGGAGGATAGTTTTGGAGTACGGGTAAATGGAGAGGCACTTGGCGATCCCATGAGCTGGGTTGTGCAGTACATCTCACTGACCGAAGGGTTTTAAAAGTCAGTGGTTGAATTTTGATCTGAAGTTCTTCCTTTTGGCAACAAAAAAACATACATTAAACCTAATTTCAGTCTGTGATATTTCAGACGTGACCTAAACTATTGTCTCTTTTTTTTCTTTATTGATTAACTTGTAAATACAAGTTAAAATATTTGTGTTCTTGATGTTCTGTTCACACTTACCTGATGGAAGAAATCCTTTGTATGCACAGAGGGAAATGTTCTTTTTTTTTTTTTTTTTACAATGTTCATTTGTCATTTGTTAGACTTTATTTTTTGGTTTGTATGAAACCATCATAACAGAGTTGCCAAATAAAATCTACTTTTGAAGACCATCTTAATATGTTGTGGTTTTTATTGCCAAGAAAAGTGTTTTGAAATTTTGACAGAATGAATAATTAATTACAGCAAGAAGGCATATAGTGTAATCAGCTTACATCATACCAGTACAAAACAGCATTAATTCATCTGGAAGCATCTTTTACTACAGAGTAAAGCAAATTGACCTACAGGTCTGAAACAGTTAGGAGTTAAACTGCAGCCATTATTCACAAAATAACTGTAGAAGAACTGATGAGAGAGCAGAGGAAATTCTGCAGACACAAAAGCAAGATCTGATGCAGCTCTACGAGCATCTCTGCTATAAGCATGTACTTATAAATGTGGCTTGTTTGTTAACTTCTGTGTAGACCTTAATTTGGTTCGTAACACATTACTACATTTTGTTGAGAGTCAACAAAGGCACCTGTATGAGAAGGTTGTCAGTTACTGCCGACCTTCAGAAAACATTCCAAAGGAATACATGGGGATATTAAATCACAAGGACAACGGGACTATTTGCATAGACTGACCTCAGACCTAATTACCTGCTGAGAATACCTACCGCTTTGTTTGAAATCAAAAGGCAGACCAAACGTACACATTTCAGAGTGATAATCACAGTAACACTGACGGGAGCTACCAGAACGGCTAAAATGAGGAGTACATGTTCCACAGGAAAACATTTTGGCAGATGCCTTCAGCAATAGATCTGCTCCTTTATAAATTGATGCTGAACAAGAGCGATGAAATCTGAATATGGGCAGTCCCGTCTTTTATCATTCCTCAGTGAAACTGTATATAAAGACCGGGCAAAACCCACTAATTGAACACCATAAAGAGTCTTTGCTGGTGTATCTATAGGCCACAGTGCTACATTCTGCCTCTTACAGCTCTATTAGATCCACCTTGTTTCCTTTTTTGTCTTTTCTAACAAAAAGGTCTTTAAGTTCCGAACGTTAAAAGGGCCAATACGAGTGGTTTATGTAAATATGTTCGTAAAAAAAATCCCTTGGACACACTTTAAGTCGGGTGTCCTGAAACGAACCCAGCTTGGCTTCCATTGTTAAAAATGGAAATGAGACGGTCCTCGTCAGCGGACATCAACTCGTCAAACTCATCCAGCATAGCGGGTCGGTGGTTGCTGTTGCTGCACGCGATGTCAATCATGCCCTCGTTCTGGAGCAGGTTGACGATGCTGTTGGGGTAATTCATCCAGGTGCTTCCTGGGAGGCTGGCATGGTCAGAAGTGTTCTGGGATGCTGCGCTGTGGGCCGCGGTAGAAGAGCTGGGCGGGGCGGCTTGTTGACATGAAACTTGCGCCAACATCGAGGCTCCGTTTCCACTCTCGTTCATGAGGGCGGGGTTCAGAAGATCCTCAAAGTCATCCATGTTCAGGTTGTCCAGGACACCTTGCCCCTGGGCTTCGGAAAAGCTAGGGAACTCTGGGATATCGTCGTCCGCAAGCGGTGCGTCCACACGGAACTGAGAGCCCGGGAGGGTGAAGGAGATGCCGGTCTGTGAGGAGGCAGAGCTCCCCTGAGAAGCTGCCGTCTCCTGGGCCATGGCCGAGGAAAGGTTGGGGAAGAACTGATGAAGGTCTGACAGGTTGACGGTTGAGAAGTCCTGGTTGGCAGTGGACGTGATGGTAGAGGAGCAGGGGGCTGTTGCCTGGCTCATTGTAAAGGTTGGCACTGGAGTGACTTTGGGCTGGGGGCCCAGGTTCAGGCTCTCCATGATCCTCCACGTCTGGTTTGTAGTTGCAGCCGAGATGGAGACCTCGACCTTGGGCTGGACCGAGAAGACCTGGCCCGGTTGAAATGAGTAGGAAGGCTGGGGCTTTGCTCCACTGGCACCAGGGGGCACCGCAGCTGCTGGAGACACACACGACCAGTGTTATTGCTGCACATATTCAAATGCCACCTCTACTCTTTAAGACAAATCAAACGGACTTACCAACTTGTGCATTCATTGATGGAGGCTTGGCTGCGACAGTCCGCCTTGCCGGGCTTATGTGCCGTCTATCTTGTGGCATAGACACTGTATTCAAACGGACATGGTTACATTACATTTCAACTAAAAATCACTTCATCTATATACTTTATTATAAATACTGTATAGAAGTGAGAGTGAAAAAAACCCAGCTCATCAACGTACCACTAGCTAGCATGGGCCCCAGCTTCAGGTTCTGGAACATGTCCCCTGTACGCTTCCTCTTCTCACTCAGCCTGTATTCATCTACAGGGGTCATTTTTAATAAGCAGTTAGTGTGGGTTTCTCTCTGGTATTTTGAGAGGTGTTTAATATCCTCAGGAAAAGCTTACATTAGTAATTTATTTGACATCATATGGAGTGATGGGAACATTGCCTCTCACCTGGGTCGGCCGGCAGGTACTGGAAGTCCATCGGCTCGCTGACCTCGCGGTCAGAGGGCCGGCGGAGCTGCATCTTGACTCTAATGGGCTCGCTGAGGTTAGTGTCGCGGTACGGCGGTGTGCGGAACACAATGGCCACCTGCCTGTGGACGTCAGCCTGGGAGAAAGTGCCCTTCCCCTCCCAGGAGTCCTGGAAGAAGCGCACCTCGATGTCCTCTACAGGGGAACAGGAAGAAAAAGAGGAGATATTGCAAATAAGTGAAAAAGAGGAAGAGAAAGAGTTCACACGGCGCAGGGAGGCTGAAGGTTTAAAGAGTTCTATCAGCGTCATGATGCACTGCCAAAACAATCACAAACACAGTGGGAGGCAGTTAATTGTCACGATACACATGTGGCATGTTAGTAATTTATTAGAAAGTAGGAAACATGAGAAGTGTACAGCGGAATAGAGGAAGAAAAGCTTTTGGTTCGTGAAAGAAGTCACTCGGAGCCAAAGTGTCTGCTTTGCATTACGCAACAGATGCTGTGACCGCCAACGAAACCTCACAAGTGCAACAGTGGCGGCGGCCAAAAATATCACTTCGTACTGGTTGTATGGATGATGTGTTATCTGAGAGCAGAGGGTTTCTTTTCTATGAAATGTATATTTAAAGCTGCATTCTTTTCCCCCCCTTTTGGCCACAGAATCAAGCTGAAAACACAATTGTGGCATTATTACCATATGAAGATATGTTGAACATGTTAGCAAACGCTAGTTGCTGACTTGGCCTGCTGTTTGGTGCTGGACACGTAGCGTACGCTAGGTTTTTAGAGGGTTTTTAAAATGTTTCAGCTAAAAACAGCTTCCTGCTGCAGCTGGTGATGGCAGAGTTTGCGGGCAGGAAACCAAAACGAGTTAAAAGAGGCTCAAACACACACGCCACAATGTTGAAACTGCAGTTGTAAAGAATTAAATTGGCTATGAAAGTTTTACTGTAGTTTATGACTATTTCCTCATCTCCACTGGTAGAACATAGAAACCCACTGTGAACATAAAAGGTAATCACCGGATGTAGTACACGTTAATATGAGAGTCAGGGTTCTATTTTGAAGCACACAATAGATACTTTATATCAGTATTTCTGACCAAAGCACACACAGTACAGGCATGTTGTACCTTTTTGCACTTTGTCGCACAGCAGAAAGATTTCATCCCCTCCTTTGCAGCTGCCAGAGTTGCGGTTGACTCGGCAGATCTTCAGCTCAGCTGTGTTTGGGGCCCCTTTAGGACAGATAAAGCATTCATGAATACATAAAGATACAAATTAATACCACACAAAGGCTTTCGATTTACACCAGACATCTTTTAAATGAAGAGGAATTTGGGCTGCGACTGACAAGTCACTATCACAGACCTTAAGCAGCCAAAAGAATGATGGTTCCCTCTGTATAATTCATTTTTACTGGTCTTTTCTGTTTGTACATAAATGCACTGGGAGCGGTTTCTACTGTTTCTCATGACTTTGAGCAGTTTGCCTTTTGCTTCACTTTGTCTACTGTGAATTCAAAAGTATGATAATTGAATTTATCATGACTGACTGCAGCTCATTTGTAAAAGCCAGCCAGGCTTTAATTTGAATAGCGGATATCACATTCCGAAAGTGAAACACCACCAAAATGGAAACAATTATTCACACTAACGATCGGAGCAACGGACAGATCTATGAATCAGAGCCTCAGCTGAGACACAGTACCGTGGAGACTCCTGACATAACACATAACCTTACTAATCTGAATCCAGAAAAACACGTGCTAAAAAAAGGACAATATGTATTTATTATCTTGATGAGACATGCACACTAAACACACTTAAATGTACAGAGAATTCCAAGATGTTTTGGTGAAGATATTTCACATTCATGTAATTTCAACATTAACTTTCTAAAATGTTGCAAACATATTTTGAAAATGACTTCAGGGCAACAGCCTACGTTCTTTATACATACACTATCTCTAAATAGAGCTGTGCATTGGGTAAGCATTTGAGTTAAGAAGCGCTCAGCAACTGAAGAGGAATTGATCTGATTGAGGCTAGTTCTTGTAAATACCTTAAGGCTTACAAGAAAGGTTCCAATGCAAAGAGGAACAAAGAGTGTCTGAGGGATTTGAAGGTTACAGAAGATGTAAAGGTTGGAGGGGGAACCTGCTTACACAGATACTGGTACTTCATACAAATCCAATATAGGTTTATCAGCTGAAAAGAAATCCTGTAAAAAAGTAGGGCACAGAATACATGTTGTATATGTGCTTGTGTGTGTACACGTGTGTGTGGCCCACTCACTGTTGTCAAAGATGGGCTGCGATACCACCGGCTCCAGAGGAATCAGCTCCCCTGAAGCCAGAGTGATGAAGGCCTGGAAGCAAAGCCGAACCGAGTTCAGGTCAAACTCCTCCTCCCACACCTTCGCCTCGGGAACTGCAGGAGGAAAGAGCGGGGTGCACAATCAGGCAGAGCACGGCATCCTGTCCTATGTAGGCTATCAGTATTTAAATCAGTAACAAATTACACTTCCTGTTGTTAATGTAACTGTAAACCTCACTTTGCTGAAAATCCAGCTGGTTGTCAGTCAGATTGTTTTTTCTGTCGGCACTTTCATTGCTTTATCTCTGGTTTGTGTTTAGTGTAGACGAGACTACACCATGGTGGCTATCACTGCTAACGCTAACTACCCAGTTAGCTAGTTCTTAACACAGCACGGGTAAAAGCTAAACTGGCTACAGGTTTAAAAACAAACGTGTTGCATAAATAGACGGACACAATTATACAGTGAAGGTATCTCACTCTCCATTAAGTGTATCCATGACAGAGTAGCTAGCTTGACATTAGCCAAATAGCATCTGTCTAGCTACAATATTTTACCATCGTCTTGTATAAGAACAGACATTTTTAAGCTAGTTTCTTAGCCTTGCTAGTTAAAGCAAGCCAACAAAAAAATGTTACCGCAAAGTTAGTCAGCTAGTTGAAGAAGGTATTTTTAAAACATGAAATAATGACAAGGTTTTAAAATTCCCCCTTTTTTTAAAGTCATTGAGTAACTGACAGAAATATCTGTAGTAGCTCAGTGAAATAATAGTGTTTACATTTGAGTGGAACTCAAGGGACTCTCTCATTGACATTTCACACACCGATAGATTTAGCAGAGAAAGGCCAACACAGAAAGTGCTTTGTGTCGCACACTCCTCTTCCTGCACCACCACTTACTGTTGAAGGGGTTATTATTGGTCTGCAGCCTACAAGTGATGGCCTCATTCACATCCTTCTTCTTGACACACTGAATGCCCAGGTTCTGAAAACTGAAAGCAAATAGAGTGTAAGACCGAAACCAAGAGACCGAAACCACTGTACGTGTACTTTCTAATTTGATATCATGAATTACTAATCTCAGATTTTTTTTTAGGTCAAACTAAACACCAAACACATGGTGTGAGTTTCTGACAGTTTCCTGTCTAAAAAGGGCTGACTGACGGCAAGGAAAAGCGGTGAAAATATTCCAACTATAGCCTACACTTCAACTGATATTCATTTCTTTGTGTCGACAATAGGTTTTGCTGCAGCCCCCGTCCACAGCAGTGGAAAAATACTTGACTTCAAGTACACTACCAACAGATGAAGATGACATATAATAACATAAACTTTTTAAAAAACGATTATTTGATCAGTATTTATTATCTAAGACCGTATCCTCAATGTTCACCAGACATCTTTGTCATTTAGCTCTATTCTAGCCTTCTATCAGTGCATTATAGCACATTTTTCAATGTGAAAAACAGATGACTAATATAAAAAGGTGCACTTAATCAGTCTGCATCGCAATACTGGCAGTGAAAGTTTGAGCTTCCTGACACTCGTGATAAAGACAGAGAGACAAACATAGCTCCCTCTGCTCAGATACACAGGTTAAATGATGCAATATTAAGTTTAAACATTACGTAATTAAAAGTATCTTGTCTGTCGCTGTGGTTTGTGCTTTCTTTTTACAGACCCTTAATACTTCTTTACCTTCTGGTTCTCATACAAAGCAAAGGCAGAGGGAAACTCAACTTTGTTGTTAGGTGGGTTACGCTGTTAATGTTTTACTCATCTCCAAAACCAAACTTACCAAGGCGACGGTAAACACGCCACCTCCCAAAAATGATGCCGTCCTTATCTTAGCGCAGTCTCGAAACAAACGCTACCTTGTTTTGATGTGGAGGTGCCCCCCCCCCCCCCCAGCTCAGTGTAGTTTTGAACACCAAGTTCCTCTGAAGTGCTCGAGCCACAGAGCACGGTGTCTCCGTCACATGTTAATCCACCCACTCCCTCTCCAGTCTACCTGTGTATTCGCCTCTCCTGCAGGTCGGCCTCGTAGTAGCCGTGTTTGCAGTCTTTCCCGACCAGTTCGTGGGGGTGAGGCTTGTGCGGTGCGTTCTTCGACACCAACGAGATGCGAACGCGCAGGGGGCCGCTGTAGTTGTTCAACTGTAAAGAGGAATGTGCCGCACTTGAATGATTCCAAAAGGGACATTTTGTGCTCTTATTCCACATTGTAGGGGAGGGTTAGCTTCTACACGCAACGATATTTTAAAAGAAAAACCTTCTGAGGTTCTGAACAAAGAGGTTCCGGTTGCAACCAGCAATGCTTCAGCCCTGATCTGCTCCTGAGTCAGTGCATGTATATTTTCAAACAGCAAATATAGTAGAGTAGTATTGTGTTACAGTAGCAATATGGTAGAAAGTAAGGATTTTTTTTTTTGTATGCATTAAATGGACCACAGCTAGAAAACATGCTCAGTCTCACCTTGATAGCTGGGTGGGTCTTAGTGGTGTCGTTGCTCTTCTCTCCGGGGATGCTGCCGGCTGAACGCCCCTCACACTTGTACCTGAACCTCATCCCCCTCTGCTTCGGCTGCTCGATGATCTCTATGAAGGGGCTCGCTGCTTGGACTGCGAGAGAAGAAGAATGTGACATAACTGACATTACCCTGTATTTTGGAACGTACAAAAACACAGCGTCCAGATTGTGAAATGCCGCCCCGTCTACACTGCTTTCTCTCGAATCAGTGTGTCAACACAGAAATGTCTCCTTCATTGACCATCGGCACACAGTGTTGAAATGTTTACTCGTGACATCCAGCGCCGGTTCATATCGAACACTGAGAATTTACGGGAAATCGCTTCTTACCTTGGTTGAGTGGGGGCAGGCCCCATCCATACACACCTGTGGTGGACAGAACACAGAACAAAAAGACATGTCAACCACTTAGTCAAAGTCTTTAGAGCGATTAGTGGTTTACCATCCACAGTGGACGACACACAGCATACAGTGGCAGCAGCGATGACAAACGGCAAAAACTGCTTTCAGCACATATTTGTGGTTTAGCAACGGTTTGTCATTCGGGCTGTGGTCTGGGTGGAAATCTACTAGACAGCGCAGCGTCCAAAGAGGTCAAAGGGTGCCGAGACACAAGGGCTTCCCGGCTAAATATAATGACTCGCCATAAACTGCCTGTCGGGCGCGGAAAAGGGAGAAGAAGTGCAGAATAAAAGCAAACAATGTCGACGGGTGGGGTCTAGTATCAGTGTCCAATTACCCGCCTTGTTTTGCGAGGAGCCTCCATTGTAAGTGAGGTGCAGGCAGCTCTCTAGTTTCAGGTGCTCTCATTAAATTAATCGTTGAGATTCATAGAAGGACGGAGAGGTGTGACACAAGATCAGGTGGTCAAAGCTCCACCCTGCAGTTTGTAGGACGTGTTCCATGTGAAAGCACGGGCAGGATGCTTTCCAAGTTGTAACATGCCGGAGTCCCTGACCAAACTCAGAGAAAGGGGATGAAATAACAATCTGTTGGGACTTTTAGAGCTATATGATGTAGGATTAATGCAAATGAATAGGGATCTTGGAATTAGACAAAGCATTAAAGCCTATAAGTGTGTAATAATTACACTCTTGACTATTTATTTGATTGACATCCTCGCCTAGTTACTGAGCCAGATGTTGTAAAAGTGAAAGTAAATGTCTCCCACAAGTTGGCCTTCACAAATCAATTAATGCTCTAATATCAGAGCTGAAGCCACTGATGTGTGATGTGTGAGTCACTCTCACTCCCATTGCATAACAAAGGCCTCACTGCTGTCACATAGTGTTGACTTTTTGTGATATGGATTTATTTATTCATATTATTCATTTCACTGTCCTATTGCTTTCCATATTCTAGACACAGAAAAAAAAAATCACATCTATCAACATTGTCAATCTATTTTGGAAGGTCTGCGATATGGAAGAACCTACTAATAATGTATCAAAATACATGATATCCATTACAAAAGCCTTCTATTTAATGGTGTTTGGCTTGCGGACAAAGGTAAAGTAGAAACGTGCAGTTTTTAAATCGTTATAACTCTTCTCATCGGCATAAATCTGTCTCACTAAACAGTCCGTGTCACACTGCAGCTTGCACGAAATGATGGTTCCATTCCCATCATTTCCGTCCACTAAAACGGAGGTGGGCGGTTGCGAGCAGCGTGGACCAATCTAAATATTATAGTTTTTTATTGGAACGAATGGTACCTGGTGGATTATACGTCGGGCGAAGTCAAGAGGATGTATTAACAATGACAGGGATTCGATGGTATACATTGTTTATTACGTATGTCCATAAACAGACAGATGACCAGTAAATTGATGGATCTCTGAACGAGGTTTGGCGTTTTCAGTGTCTCTGGGGAAACCCATGAGGTGGACGAACCCAACAGGCCTCTTGACAGCTCGACACTGTTTGGTCAGTTCACGCCTGCTGGGTGAGTTAACTACACACAGTGGAATACACACAGCCAATGTTACATCATGTATGGCAGAGCTAGGCAGTACAAGTTCTGTCAAACGTCCAACTGCGCAAACCCAGTGATAGCGGGGCTTTCCCCTGTGCGCAAAAACAACTCCCTGTACAGTTTCACCTCCACTGTCTGAACTGAGTCAACAGGCCGAGCAAAGGAGCCCAGTTCCACTCACCGTCCATGGCTGTGTCCGAGTCCGACTTCCACGTCTCCGTCGACACTTCTGTTTATCTGTTGGTTGTTTGTTTGTTTGTTTGTTTTGCTTGATTTTTCAGCTAAAATGAGCCGCATACACGACAGTGCCGACTCAGAAAACTTCTTGACATTGCTGTTCTGTCGCCTCCTCCGCTCCACCCACATCTGTGTACGACAGTGTACAGATAGTGAAGCTGGACGATGCAAGGGCAGCACACGGTTTCCGGTAAAAGTGAAGAAATAGTGCCTTGTTTTGTGTGCAGTACACCGTTAACGTGGTGACTTCACTTTTCACTTCTGCGGCACACGAAAGGTCCACTCCATCCTCTTCAAAACGTCATTCATTAATTGCTTGTATTTTCCATTCATTTATTTTGCTTATTTATCTGAAAATGTAACTAATATATTTAATAAGATTACACATACACGTATATGCATATACAGTATTTGAAGTATTTGATAATAATAATATTAATAATGTGAAAAATTGATTAAAATGTGTAATTTCAATTCAACTAAATTATAATGAGCCAAACAAAACAGAAGTACAATCTTGCCTGTAATTAAAAGTGGTGCACTTTGTGTAGTAGTTCAAAAACTATTGAAACTAAAATAAAAATCAATTTCTTATGATTTGCGTCAAACATATCAATGCCAACCCCTGAAAAAGTGTTTGATTTTTACTGAGAAAGGATATTTTGACATTAAAGTGCTTGACATTTTATATGTAATAAATTTAACACACTTGAGACTTAACTGATTAATTAAACACATTAATTGTAACGACACTGTTCAGGAAACAGCGAAAATTACAAAATTATAAAATGATTAGTGATAACTTATATAGTTGTAATAAAATATCCAATTAAACAATTTGTTAAAGTAACTATGACATTATGAAAGTTGCATTTATGTTTCGTTTTCCCAGCAACAAACACTATTATTGTGAAGGAAAAGCACTCGTCTGTTTCCGGTTCTGGCCTGCCTGACGCAGCTGCACCCCTTCGCTTTTCCTCTGCGGTGCAATTTGCCACCACCCACTCCAAACAGTGCGGAAATACCCAAATGACGCACTTGAAAGCAACAAGAAAATAGGTTGTGAGTGGGAGAGGCAACAACATAACTTCAGGCTTTAGTCATGAGCTGGAGAGAGTGTTGGACTGGAAGCAAAGAGCCATGTCCCAGGCACTGACAAGTAAATACACATGTAGTGCTCCTCCTACTTATGTTTATTAATTGTTATTTGTACTTTACTTTATTGCTTCAGCTGAATAAAATCATAAAATAGTCATAAAAACAGTTTATTTAAAAGATTCCGCACTCATACAATTCACACTGTGACCAGAGGAGGGCACTGTCAGTGAATAAATCAGCATCTGTACTCATTAGCTCTCATCACTGGGCGTTTGTCCCCTGATAATATTTAGAGACTGGACCTTAAATATTTGTTGTCTTTCCCATAGGATTCTTCTTTTAAAGCTTACTTTGTGTCAATCATGACACAAAGTAAGCATGAATACCAAAAACATCTTAGTCAGATTGTCATGTTCGTACAAGTCTGACCAGCTGTTGCAAAAACTGTCACCTGAGTTAATGAAACATATTTTTTTATTTTTTTAAACATGATTCTTATATTGTAATTTCGTGGCAACCTGTTGCAGCTACTGCTTTGCTGATGCCTTCAGGTGCTGTCCGACATTACAGTTACGGGTTGAGAAAACAACAGCAACGTGCAATTAAGAGGGTGGGACTTGTCCGTTACATTGTTGTATTAATTGTCATTGTTTTCCACCGGTTTGCATTGGGGACCTTTACAGTCTAAACTTTAGACTCTAAAATAATGCACGTATGTCCGTGGCTCTCAAATGCTGAGTGCATGCTGGGAAAAGCGTCACCAATTGAGATTCGTCCAAATATTTTCTGAACCCACTGAACCTATTCATGATGGTGGCGTTTCTGTTCGCGTAACGTTTATTCATCATGTCACTGTTATATTGTATGTTACTGTTGGAAACATATTTACAATAAATTATATGAATATTTGTCTCCAACAAGTCATTGATTTTTTGGAAATTAATGGAGAGGAACGACTCTATGCACAGATGGACAGATCTAGAGGAGATAGATCTACATATCAGGGTATGACTATCATTTGAAAAAACGTACAAGGCCATGTATGGCTATCTTCACAACTCTCCGCGCTCTGTGATAGAAGCTAGAGTATCAGAGGTGCACTTTAACGCAGCACAAGTAGTCCTAAACGGGAGGCCCGTGAGTGGGAGGAGGTCGGCGGTGCGTTTGAGTGCAGTGAGGCGGTGCCTGCGCTGCCTGCTCCAGACTGCGGTGGGCAGAGCTGTTTTGCTACAGAAATGGCGGAGGGGGAGTTGGACGTGGACTCGCTGATTTCCAGGCTTTTGGAGGGTGAGTTCGCAAACCATACTACCTTCATATCATCCTGTTGTTTGCGGCTTTAGTCCGCGAGGATTGTTTCAGGCTGGCTTTGACTCAAGTCGACGAGAAGTAGGCCCGCTTTAGAGTTCCCCGGTGTATCAGTAAACCGGACCAGTCCCGTATGTTGGCTATGAAATCATACCTAATGGCACGTGAGATTTTTCATAAATGAAGTTGTGAGAGTCAAAGTGTGGGTTCGCGGTTGAATCAAAAAGTTCTAGTTCGAGGACTGTTTGTAATCCGACCGGTCGAGTACGTAACCCCAACCTTAAAACTAACTATGGAGCATTATTGTAGCCTTGACTAATTTCGTCATACTTGTAATACACTAATGATGTCATCATTTTGTCATGCAGTGCATAAAACACCAGATAAGAAGCTTTTACTATAGAAAAACCTCGAACAAAAATAACCAGCTTTTCACAACATAACGCACCGCGGTGGGCGGCGGCAGCTCGTGCTGTCGGTCAGTCCCAAAAGTTGACATTCGCTTTAAAACAAAGGGCAGCTTGGTGAATCAAGTATGCCGAAAATTAAAGCACAACTGTTTGGTCTCTGGAGACACCACACATCGGGGTTGTATTATGTTTATCTACCGTTTGCCCTCAATCGTGAGGAGAAATGTCAAGTTTTCAAACGGGATTCGGCACAGGGATGTCAGCTGAAGAGAGGGAGACACGTCCTGGGGTTATGGTGTTTATATGGGAACATTGCTGAATGGTGTTTACACACACCACAGGCCTTGATTGTATCCCACTTTTAAGTTTGTACCCTGTAAGCATTTCAAAATGTTTGTGTTGCTCCATGTATTTTGTAATTGCTTATTCAGTGAGTTGGAAGATTCATCTTATGAACCATACCCAGACTTTTAAGAGTTACCATTTCTGTTAGACACAACAGTTATCCTTCAGAGGATTTAATATTAATGTAACTGTGGGCAGATCATCTCCTGAGCTTCATCGTCATGAAGAAAATGAATATTTCATCATCATATGTCACTGATTAAATGAGCGGCTGCGGAGGACAATAATTCAGAAGAGTGCCTGTACTTTCTTTCCGTCTACTCGGGCATGTAACACTCATATTTGTATATAATTGGTGTTGTTTGAGACTGCACTAAAGTAACTTCAGTGCTTTCAAAGAAGTCACTGGTTTCCCACACCATTACACCATTGCTAAGGGTTGGGTGTCTGTGGGTTCTTATCAGTGCTAAATAAGGGACCCTGACACCAGTGGGCTGATCCGTCTTGCCTTTCGGTCTCTGGATGACATGGAGACACTGTCCCTCTGGCCTTAATCGATTGTGAGTCCCACGCACAGATTCGGTGTGCATGTGAAACGTACACAGCCTTGACAGCGTGGGCTAATGAGTGAGCACCGATGTGCATCAACGTGTCAGTATAAGCTAATCGTCTGGATTGATTGGGACCGGTTACATAATGCTGCTTGTTGTGTGTGTCAGCTGAACAGTAACAGTGAGCCTGGGGCTGGGCCGTCGCTAGTTAGCTGGCTGCATATTCAGTTGCTTTTTTTTCAATGCTGCGGCTAGAAAACCCTCAGCGGAGGAAATTGGTTGGATCTGGCCCTAAAGTCTTCCAGATGTGAACTGTGAATACATCCAGCCATCCATCTCATGTCAGCCACTTTCTCTTTCCACTTACTGCTAGTTTGTATCCGGCTGGCTCATTTGTGGTGTGAAAATACCAACTAATACCACTAATGTATAACAAGGCTCCTGTACAAGTTCCCGAATGCTAAATGTCGTTAAAGAACTTTGCCAAAACACGCTGTTCTAAAATGAGTGGAGAGTGATCTCCACTTAATCACAAGTGAATTTATTCAAATACTTTGTTCACAAACAACAAGTGTAATATTGATCTCTTTCTTCTGCAAAATATGTAATCAATCAGTATCGTATCAGGAGGCCACAGCCTGACTAATGTTTTCAATTTAATATGACAACCAAGGCAAACTGGTATTAGTCACAGTAGGAGACTTATTTTTTACGGGTAATTGGGGGCTATTCGGGTTTAAAAAAAAAATGTACAGAGCTGGGGGAGGGGGATAATATTCAGATAAAAAAACGAGCATTTACCAGGCGGTAACCTCCGGTTCTGACGAGTAAAGCCAGTGCTTCAACTTGCATTCTTTCTAGTGTCCACCAGGGGGCGACTCCTCTGGTTGTATAGAAGTCTATGAGAAAATGACTCTACTTCTCTCTTGATTTATTACCTCAGTAAACATTGTAAACATGAGTCTATGGTCTCAATCTCTAGTTTCAAGTCTTCTTCAATACAGCATGATGTTCATTTAGTAAATGATGGTCCATTTAGAGTCAAACAGACCATAAAGCAGAGTATGCTTTAGGGCGGGGCTTACTGTGATTGACAAGTCGCTGCTGCTACCAGAGCCATGTCTGGCGTGACTACATCACTCATCCTCATTCCAAATATGGTAACTTCCGATCATTGGTTGCAAAATAATACAGTCATGAATTTGCAAGAAAATCGTATGTATATGTATACAGTATGTGGACAAAACACAGGCAGCAACACCAAAAACACACTCTCAATGTCCCTCGTGTATCAGCCTGTCTTCATAAGGGCTTTGACCTTTCAACACCACAAAGACCTCTCACAGGCTGTTCCTTACTGAAGGAATCTTGATCTTCATCAACTCGGTTTACTTCACCAGATCACACCTTTACTAAATGGCCCGTCAGTGGCTGTCTCCTGGCATTCATTTCAACAAGCTCTAAAGGTTTTCACGTCGCCACGCTACGGACTCATTTAGTCTCCTCTGCAGGAATAAAAAGAGCTTCTGCTTCAGGGCGGACAGGAGGTCCTTAAACACTTCAATAGGAGGTTGATCTCTTACTTCTTCAGTGAGCTCTGGTGCCAGTCGGGAAGCTACGCACTCGTGCACACAGACGAACATGCACAGCCCTCTGATCTCCTATTAAATGTCAACAGGCACAGCTGTCCGTGGTAGAAATTAACTTACCCTTTTGGTGACACCCACGGGGAGGTGAGGGGGCTCCTCTCCAATGAACATTGATGTGGTGAAGTGGCTTTTTAACTCGGCAAATCATTACCACTTACATCAGTTTTTCAGTAAAAGGTTTGAATAGATTCACGCGGACAGAGGACCAACTAGCAGGACCCCATTGACCCAGAGCAGCGTGTGAGCTGTTGTTTAGCCTGAAACTACTGCAAGATATTTTAATGTTTCCTTTTAGTGAAATGCTCTGACTGAATTTGAGTTCCCTCTGGTGAACAGTTACAGTGTATATACGTATATGTCTAGGGCTTTTATTGTGAAAGGTAAGCTGGCCTTTGTCAAGGTTGAAAGGAGCAATAAAGTTTGAAGTTTTGGTTTGGACTATGAAGCCTCCGTGTTGGGGCGTAGGGAGTCGTTTTAAAGTTTGGTAACAAACCTAAGTATTGGACGAATTGTCATCATGTGTGAACATCCAGACACACTCGTGCATACAGTGCAGTTTGGTGGAGGGGTTGACAGTAGTCTAGGCGACAGGCTGAACCAGATCAACTGACAACATGGTTTACAGTCACCGCGGCCTCCTCGGTGACCTCACAGCGCAGATTTTCTAGCCTCTCTGGTTTCATTTGTCACTCTGAATACAATGACTCATCATTCGCTGTCTTGTGAGTCACAGTATAACGGTAAGCAGCAACACAACGGTGTATGGATGACCTTACCAAAGCCATTTGTCTGTAAATAAAATGGCATTAGTACTGTCTCCCTATATGTTGATATTATGCAGTCAGAGTGGCTACGCTTGTCCAGTCCTGTCACTGGTTCACATCTAAAAGCTCCGTTCCAGTGGGCTCTAACCAGGCGGCACCTCCGGTTCTGAAGAGTGAAGCCAGTGTGGAAGTGTCTTAAATGTGCATTATCTCTAATGACCAGCAGGGGGCGACTCCTCTGGTCGCAAAAAGAGGTCCGATTGTATAGAAGTCTATGAGAAAATGTCCCTCTTCTCACTTTATCTCAGTAAACATGAGTTTATGGTCTCAATCTGTAGTTTCAAGTCTTCTTCAATACAGCATGATGTTCATTTAGTAAATTATGGTCCATTTAGATCAAATAGACCATAAAGCAGAGTATGCTTTAGGAGGGGGGCTACCTTGTTATCGACAGGTCGCTACCAGAACCATATACGGCTTCTCTACGTCACTCCTCCACAGTCCAAATATGGTCACATCCGTTCACTGGTTGCATAAATCCAAGATGGCGACGGCCACGAGGCTTGAAAACCGCAGTCCACAAACGTGACGGTGACTACGTCCGCTTCTTATTTACATTCTATGACTAACATAGTCTGGGCACGCTCACAGCTGGGACAGTCTCGGCGCAATGCCTTAGTAATGTGACGCCTATCGTGGGATTCATCTCGTATGAGGCCCCTCAAAGTTGTAGAAGCTCATCCCCAATGTTAACAAGTGTTAGTGTAAGGTGATGAAGGAAACATTAAACGGTTATGTGTCTGATCACCGGGGTGAGAAACAATCAATATGTCGCGGCCACATTACACAGGCTCTGTGGGAAAGCAATCCGTCATATGCTGTTGTAGTAAACTCTCTGCAGCGTGTTTCACAGCAGAGTCAGAGCTGACGTCGCACTTTTCACCATATTCATAGAAATTCTTCAGTTGTCTCTACACAGAGGACGGCAGCAGCAGCATGCCGGCAGCACGACTGTCCGTTTCCTCCCCTGTGTATTACAGGCCCCAGTCAGCTCATGCTAAGCTCACACTGGCCCGGGCTTTAGCGACAACAGGCCCCTCTGTCCGGCCCTTTATGTGGCACAATCAACCCCGCGGCCCCATACAGCCAGCGAGAGCGGGGGAGGCGGGATGGAAAGTTTCATTTCGGAGCCATTACAGTTAATGGGTGAAGACGCCAGCCAAGCTGTAACCCAGTATGAGCATGACATCTTTCTAAAGGCCA